CGGAGGAATTTTAACCCTCTCTCTTTTTACAACGTCGCTTCAGTGCATTGAAATCTGCAGGCATTCGTTCATTCACAGCCCTCTGAAGGTTGCACAGCATTTCACAAACTGACATTGTGTTGGCACACACCTGAATGCTTCAGAGCTGCAAACTGTGAAATTATGATCTGTTAATTAAGTGCATTTGCTTAGCAGTACCTGCTACTTACCTCTTAATTCCTGCTGAAGCTTTAAACGTTTACTTTTTCACACACTGCTTCTGTAACCTGGCTTTTTGTAAAAGAAAGAAATAATCACATGGTGTAAAATGTCATGTGAGGTTGTATTTACTTATTTTTTTTAGATCTGGTAAGGACCATTTTGCCCTTATGTGGAGTTTGTACTTTGTTTTTACCCTGACTGTATATATAGAAATACCAGGTTTTTTCTGTTTGCTTTTAACAGATATCTTACACTACCCAGCTGGGGCTGTAAGGTTTGAGAGATTTTGCAGTTCACTAAGAAAGTCTGAAATTTACTAAAAAACAAACAACAGCAACAAAGTTGGGGCTCTAGGTTTCAGCTCTTCATAACTTGACAGAATATTGCTGCCTCTATGGTTCGATATTGTTCGATCTTTGTAAAATCTTCCTGTTTAGTTACTGAACGAGTCCATAGCAGACGTGCCTCCTACAGACAGATCCACGGGTCATTATAACATTTATCCAGTATGAGAGCATTTTGCAAATTTTGTCCATGTGTTATATTAAAAAAAAACATTCTTAATAATACAAATGTCCCTGTTTACTCTGCACTCACTTCCTCGTCATATAAATATAGCTTTTTATTTGTGTACAGCACATCTTTATATTTGCATGTTATGTATCATTCGATCACACTGACAGTGGTGCACAGTGTCAGCAGGCTTACTTTTCAGTTCATTTCGATTGGGCCCAAGCCTGCAAAGCATTTGCACCGCAGACGTCACGTCCAAAGGCATGATATGTTTGAACTGGCAGTCACGCTGAGAAGTGCTTATCCTGCCCAGCTTCATGCACCCCGTCCATTTTCATTACAGCGTCAGGCTAATGGGCTACTTGGTTTTGGCTTGTATTTAGCTGGTAAAGCCGTCCAGTGCTGCTATATTATACAACAGACAATGTTCCCACCTACATAGTGTATGAGTGAGTCACTGGTACATTAAGGTGCGCGAACACACACATATGCACACACAAAACAAGCCATTTCCCCCCCCAAAATTATGAGAAGGGCATTATAATTCACAGGCACCATCAATGGTCCATTAGGGCTATTTGTGTACAGGTGCATGCTAGTCATGTTTATGCATTTATACACGAAAATAGCAAATATGATTCTCATATTGTAGCTTTATTGTAAATATATACTTGTTATTCACACCTGCACAAAGTCTGCTGGCCCCATGCAAAACATTTGTATCAAAACTTTATTCAGGAAAACCAATTCTGGAGTAACATACCATGCTTCTTTCTTTTCTAAACTGAGATTAATAACATAGATCATCATTCCTGCAGACAGCCAGATCTCCTCTTTCATGCAGTTTTACAGCGAGCTGCACTTGTGCTTCTGCAAGACATTTCCAACAAATATTCCTGATCATGCTCATATCATTTCAGGAGAATAATGTGGGGGGATAAAAGGAGAACAAAGGCTGGGTTTGACATTACAGCCACTCGGTGCTTACATTGCTAGGATAAGCATAGGAACTTCAGCAGCATAATTTGTGTTGTTTGTAATCCGTGACACTGACTTTTAGAAGAAACAGCATAACGGAGCATGATGTACACAAATCCCTTCAAATTAAGAGATAGTTGTTTCTGAGATTTCAGCCTCAAGTTTTATTTTAACTACAGACTTCCAAAAGTAATCAGGGCAGTAAATCAAAAACCACATGGTGTGACCAAGGGAGCGTTTTTTCCTGTGAATTATAAAACATGCGTGTAACTTATTAAGGGCTGCATTGCACTATGGGTGGTTCTGTGTGTATTTAAAAACCTATCTGCATTTACTGACTCAGAATAACTTGGAAACTG